AGCGTTATTTAAGAAACTACAGCCGATTTAAAGTTTTTCATATAAAAATAGATTTTTGGTGGGAAATATGAGTGATCACAGATTTTCAATATTTTCTCGATTGGAGCGTTATTTAAGAAACTACAGCCGATTTAAAGTTTTTCATATAAAACTCGATTTTTGGTGGGAAATATGAGTGATCACAGATTTTCACTATTTTCTCGATTGGAGCGTTATTTAAGAAACTACAGCCGATTTAAAGTTTTTCATATAAAACTCGATTTTTGGTGGAAAATATGAGTGATCACAGATTTTCACTATTTTCTCGATTGGATCGTTATTTAAGAAACTACAGCCGATTTAAAGTTTTTCATATCAAAATCGATTTTTGGTGGGAAATATGAGTGATCACAGATTTTCACTATTTTCTCGATTGGAGCGTTATTTAAGAAACTACAGCCGATTTAAAGTTTTGCATATCAAAATCGATTTTTGGTGGGAAATATGAGTGATCACAGATTTTCACTATTTTCTCGATTGGAGCGTTATTTAAGAAACTACAGCCGTTTTAAAGTTTTGCATATCAAAATCGATTTTTGGTGGGAAATATGAGTGATCACAGATTTTCACTATTTTCTCGATTGGAGCGTTATTTAAGGAACTACAGCCGATTTAAAGTTTTGCATATAAAAATCGATTTTTGAGGGAAATAAGAGTGATCACAGATTTTCACTATTTTCTCGATTGGAGCGTTATTTAAGAAACTACAGCCGATTTAAAGTTTTTCATATAAAATTCGATTTTTGGAGGGATATATGAGTGATCACAGATTTTCACTATTTTCTCGATTGGAGCGTTATTTAAGAAACTACAGCCGATTTAAAGTTTTGCATATAAAAATAGATTTTTGGTGGGAAATATGAGTGATCACAGATTTTCACTATTTTCTCGATTGGAGCGTTATTTAAGAAACTACAGCCGATTTAAAGTTTTGCATATCAAAATCGATTTTTGGTGGGAAATATGAGTGATCACAGATTTTCACTATTTTCTCGATTGGAGCGTTATTTAAGAAACTACAGCCGATTTAAAGTTTTGCATATCAAAATCGATTTTTGGTGGGAAATATGAGTGATCACAGATTTTCACTATTTTCTCGATTGGAGCGTTATTTAAGAAACTACAGCCGATTTAAAGTTTTTCATATAAAAATTGATTTTTGGTAGGAAATATGAGTGATCACAGATTTTCACTATTTTCTCGATTGGAGCGTTATTTAAGAAACTACAGCCGTTTTAAAGTTTTGCATATCAAAATCGATTTTTAGAGGGAAATATGAGTGATCACAGATTTTCACTATTTTCTCGATTGGAGCGTTATTTAAGAAACTACAGCCGATTTAAAGTTTTTCATATATAAACCGATTTTTGATGGGAAATATGAGTGATCACAGATTTTCACTATTTTCTCGATTGGAGCGTTATTTAAGAAACTACAGCCGATTTAAAGTTTTTCATATAAAAACCGATTTTTGATGGGAAATATGAGTGATCACAGATTTTCACTATTTTCTCGATTGGAGCGTTATTTAAGAAACTACAGCCGATTTAAAGTTTTTCATATATAAACCGATTTTTGATGGGAAATATGAGTGATCACAGATTTTCACTATTTTCTCGATTGGAGCGTTATTTAAGAAACTACAGCCGATTTAAAGTTTTTCATATAAAAATCGATTTTTGGAGGGAAATATGAGTGATCACAGATTTTCACTATTTTCTCGATTGGAGCGTTATTTAAGAAACTACAGCCGATTTAAAGTTTTTCATATCAAAATCGATTTTTGGTGGGAAATATGAGTGATCACAGATTTTCACTATTTTCTCGATTGGAGCGTTATTTAAGAAACTACAGCCGATTTAAAGTTTTTCATATAAAACTCGATTTTTGGTGGGAAATATGAGTGATCACAGATTTTCACTATTTTCTCGATTGGAGCGTTATTTAAGAAACTACAGCCGATTTAAAGTTTTTCATATCAAAATCGATTTTTGGTGGGAAATATGAGTGATCACAGATTTTCACTACTTTCTCGATTGCAGCGTTATTTAAGAAACTACAGCCGATTTAAAGTTTTTCATATAAAAATCGATTTTTGGAGGGAAATATGAGTGATCACAGATTTTCACTATTTTCTCGATTGCAGCGTTATTTAAGGAACTACAGCCGTTTTAAAGTTTTTCATATCAAAATCGATTTTTGGTGGGAAATAAGAGTGATCACAGATTTTCACTATTTTCTCGATTGGAGCGTTATTTAAGAAACTACAGCCGATTTAAAGTTTTTCATATAAAAATGGATTTTTGGTGGGAAATATGAGTGATCACAGATTTTCACTATTTTCTCGATTGGAGCGTTATTTAAGAAACTACAGCCGATTTAAAGTTTTTCATATAAAAATAGATTTTTGGAGGAAATATGAGTGATCACAGATTTTCACTATTTTCTCGATTGGAGCGTTATTTAAGAAACTACAGTCGATTTAAAGTTTTTCATATAAAAATAGATTTTTGGTGGGAAATATGAGTGATCACAGATTTTCACTATTTTCTCGATTGGAGCGTTATTTAAGAAACTACAGCTGATTTAAAGTTTTGCATATAAAAATCGATTTTTAGAGGGAAATATGAGTGATCGCAGATTTTCACTATTTTCTCGATTGGAGCGTTATTTAAGAAACTACAGCCGATTTAAAGTTTTTCATATAAAAATCGATTTTTGGAGGGAAATATGAGTAATCACAGATTTTCACTATTTTCTCGATTGGAGCGTTATTTAAGAAACTACAGCCGATTTAAAGTTTTTCATATAAAAATTGATTTTTGGTGGGAAATATGAGTGATCACAGATTTTCACTATTTTCTCGATTGGAGCGTTATTTAAGAAACTACAGCCGTTTTAAAGTTTTGCATATAAAAATCGATTTTTGGTGGGAAATATGAGTGATCACAGATTTTCACTATTTTCTCGATTGGAGCGTTATTTAAGAAACTACAGCCGATTTAAAGTTTTTCATATAAAAATCGATTTTTGTGGGGAAATATGAGTGATCACAGATTTTCAATATTTTCTCGATTGGAGCGTTATTTAAGAAACTACAGCCGATTTAAAGTTTTTCATATAAAAATAGATTTTTGGTGGGAAATATGAGTGATCACAGATTTTCAGTAATTTCTCAATTGCGGCTTTATTTAAGGAACTACAGCAGAGTGGTTTTTTTTAATTGATACTTCCGTTCCTACTAGCATTTAATTTAATAAACAAATTTGTACATTATTCTTACTTCTTTAGGTAGAAGTAATATTAAGTTTGCGCAGATATGGTGAATAAAGAAACCTTTGCAGTGCTTAGAAATCAATAAAAAACCTAAATTCGAATAACAAAACCTCTCAACAAAATTTACATTTTCATTTTACATTGATTCTTCATTTAACATGGAACGTTGGCACAATAAATTGGCCGTAGTTACAGGTGCCAGTGGAGGTATTGGAGCTGCTTGTGCCCGTGCTTTAGTAGCAACAGGAATACGCGTCGTGGGTTTAGCACGCAGAGAAAATAAACTTAAAGAATTACAAAACTCACTACCAGAAAAACAGAAGACATTATTCATACCACATAAATGTGATGTTTCCAAAGAAGATCAAGTTATAAGAGCCTTTGAATGGACCGAAGAGGAATTCGGTGGTGCAGATATTTTGTTAAATAATGCGGGTATTACAAGGGAAACTGAACTAGTAGCACCGGGTAATACGGAGAAAATTCAACAGGTTATAAACACAAATATTATGGGTGTTTTATGGTGTACACGAGAAGCTTTTCAACGTATGCATAAACGTGGTAATGAGGGTCATGTTTTGATCATTAATAGTATTGCCGGTCAACAGGTATTGAATTTTATAGATGTTTTGCCTTCATTCAATATATATCCAGCTACGAAATTTGCCATAACTGCCATGACCGAAACATATCGACAAGAATTTCAATTGTATAAGAGTAAAGTTAGAGTTACGGTGAGTTTTTTAATGCTTTTGGTTAATCTAATTAAGGTTGTGCAGTAAATTTTTTTTGTATTTAAAGGGTATTTGTCCTGGTGCTGTTAATACAAATATATTTCCGGAAGAAATTCATTTCTATGTTAAAGATATGGCACGTTTGGAACCGAAAAATATTGCTGATGCCGTACTGTATGCTTTAAGTGTACCACCAAATGTTCAGGTCTGTCAAAAACTTGTATTGGTCCAAATCTATAGCAGTCTGCTCAATAGATTTCCTAAAGAAGAAATCCATCGCAGTCTGCTCGAGAGATTTCCTAAAAAGAAATCTATCGCAGTCTGCTCAAGAGATTCCCTAAAGAAGAAATCTATCGCAGTCTGCTCAATAGATTTCCTAAAGAAGAATTCTACCGCAGTCTGCTCGAGAGATTTCCTAAAGAAGAAATCTATAGCAATCTGCTCAATAGATTTCCTAAAGAAGAAATCTCTTGCAGTCTGCTCAAGATTTCTTAAAGAAGAAATCTATCGCAGTCTGCTCAAGAGATTTCCTAAAGAAGAAATCTCTTGCAGTCTGCTCAAGATTTCCTAAAGAAGAAATCCATCGCAGTCTGCTCAAGAGTTTTACTAAAGAAGAAAACTATCACAGTCTGCCCAAGAGATTTCCTAAAGAAGAAATCTATCGCAGTCTGTTCTATAGATTTCCTAAAGAATTAATCTATCGAAAACTGATCAAGTGATTTTCTAAAGAAGGAAACTAACGCAGTGTTATGGAAAACAATAATTTTCTTATTTTTACAGATTCATGAAATTACCGTCAAACCCATGGGAGAAATGTTTTAATTTATTAAATAAAACTTATCAAAAACATGTACTCACCATAATAAATTGTTGAATATTTTATTAAGAAATGTTAACATTTATGGAGAACAATAAATAATTGCCACTGAAAACCTGGAAAAAGAAAGAAAATCTGATTTAACAAACATTTATTTTAAGTTATTTTTAAATAAATCTAATTTTTTTCTTAATAATCTATGATTTAAACGATGCATGCACAGGAATTGTTTATTAAGAAAAACAACGGGTATATCTAGACGATATAAACGTAAAAAACGTAGATTTTCTTTGGTATCTATGAAAATCTTTTCCAATTCATATTCACCAGCGAAATTAAATTCCAATTCTTCAAGTAAAATATCACACAAAGGACAAGGGTCTTTGGTAAATAAGGTGATAAGAGGTAAGTTTTCAGCAGGAGAAAACGAGGGCCTAAAGTAGAAGTAGAACTAGAAATGTATGCATTTGAATAGGAAAGTAAAGTTTAGCTTACAATTTTTGTATGATGAGAGTTAGAGAATCCCGAGAACTAGCAGATACCATACAACCATATTCAGAAGGTTCCAAAGAATGAGTAAGATGGGTAAGTAAACGTGTTAGAGAGGCAGCAGCAGAGTGTCCCAATATTAAAGAACCACCATGAGGATTTATCAAGTCGAAATTTAAGTCAAAATGATGTTTTAGATAAACCACCATTTGAGGTATAGAGTCTTCGATTTCCCAGTGTTTTATGTCCTGAGGTTTGAGAGAAGTTTTAGCAAAAAGTTTTTCCACACATTCACGTCCACCAGAGAGAATATTGGAGGTGTTGTGTTTATATTGAAAGTCTGTTATAACAGCTAGAGGAGATAAATCCAATTTTTGAGCTTTAGCTAATGTGGTTAGTACTAAGGCTGCTGCACCATCGCTATACTGAAAGGTTTTATTGTCTTCTCTACAGTTTTCGGGAAAAATTTCATCCTGGATTATTTCTCTTATAACTCTTCTCTTGCCGGCTTGCTGCTGTAATGCTAGAGGTACTATTTCAGCTTCAAATATACCTTCCGCTTGGGATTTTAGAAAGCGCATGACACTTTTTGATATATAGTTTTCTATTACTTCCGATGAGACTTCTGGAAACAGTTGCTCCTTCTGCGACATTGCCTGGTTTTGGTTTATCAAGGATTCCTGGTGTGTAGCAGATTGCAGACCTCCCATAACTACTGCTGCACATTCTTGCGATTTTAAGGAATCAAAAGCCTTAAGTAAACTATCCACTTGAGGTTCATCTTGTTCGCCTATACTTAGGCCCGTATATTTAGTTTTCTTGAGGAAACTACTAAAAACAAATTCTTGCCCAACACCCAGTTGCAGTGGAGGTCTTTCATTCATATAGATTTCATGTACAAGTTCCAAAGGTACTGCAGATTGTTTAACGGCCGCCTCCGCAGCCAGTTGGCCCAATTGCAAACCGGAGGCGGCAGCCAATTGACCCTGATATTTACCCCATGGTGTGCGAGCGGCAGCAGCTATTACTATGGCATCAGATTTATTATGAAAATAACGCAAAGTAGTTGCTAATGCTCGACAATAAGTATTTATACTAAGATATTTAAAATTTTGCTAATTAAATGCATAAATAAATAGCTTTGTATAACGGTTTGTTATTAATTCTAACCCTACTTTGCGACTTACCATTTCAATTAATATTTTCGCTATTTAACTTTTTATTTTCAAGGTTTTTTAATAAATATATAAAATTTAACACTTTATTTTTAATATAAAAACAATATTTACACTTTTTTTGTTATTAGAAATAGTATTTGCTTTATTTTTTCTTAAAAACTCAAGAAATTTAACTTTGCCGACTTGTTCAATTTTGTTTAATGCAATAAAAACAACAACAATCATCTTTGTTTACCATAAAATGACATTTCTTTTATCAGAGTGTTGCCATATAAAATAGAAAGTAACAACATATGCAGGTTTTAGCGCAGACACAAACCTTTACGCTGCCACCTAGTTTGAGTTGGAAATTTCCAATAACCATTTTTTTCATATGTACTCAGCAAGATACTTAGAGGCGGGGTTGCCCAGCAAAATAGTCCGGTAAGAAATATATGTGTTTGTGTGTCGTTCCCAGCAAATTTTGCTGAGCTCGGTGGGCTCAGCAAAAATTTCCATTTTAAAAATGGAAATGACGACACAAGTAATGGAAATGACGTTTGTCTGTTTCAAAAACAGGTGCTGTTTATTGGTACGAAACGAAAAAAAATATTTATGTTTTTCGTGGTGTAGGGTACATACAATATGTTATAGTACTCACATTTAAAATTTTTTAAATTTTTAAATAGTTTGCAAAACTTAATCGATAAACTTATTTTGATCGATAAACTCATTGAGTCTACTAGAACTCTATCACAGTCTTCTCAAGATTCTTCTTTACACTAAAGGAAAAGAAGATATCGATCGGAATCTGGTCAAAATCTTTTAAAGAAGATATCGATCGCAGTCTTTTCAAAATTTTCTAAAGAAGAAATATGCTCAAGATTTCTTAAATCAGAAGATTTTAGAGATCGGATTCTTCTGTAGAAGATCTTGAGCAGACTAATTTGTTATTAAAAAGAATCTGCAATAAAATCTTCTAAAGAATAAACCGGTCGAAGTCTGGTCAAAATCTTCTAAAGAAGAAATTGATCGCTTATCGCAGTCTGCTCAAGATCTTCTAAAGAAAAGAAATGTAGCAGTCTTTTCAAGATTTTTTTAAAAAATAAATCTATCGCAGATTTTTCTAAAGAACAAATTAGTCTATTCAAGATCATCTACAGAAGAATCCGACCGCAAGAAGAATTCAATCGCAATCTATTCAAGATTTTTAAAGAAGATATCGGTCTGCTTAAGATCTTCTAAAGAAATCTGTTGCAGTATTTTCAAGATTTTCTTAAGAAAGAATCAGATTAGTTAGTAGTTTGCTCAAGATTTTCCAAAGAGATATCTGCTCTAAAACCAATATGTAGTCTTGACTATAGACTGATCTATAGTCTTAATTATAGACTGATCTATAGTCTTGACTATAGACTAATCTATATAGTCTTGACTATAGACTGATATATAGTCTTGACTATAAACTTATCTATAGTCTTGACTATAAACTTATCTATAGTCTTGACTATAGACTGATCTATAGTCTTGACTATAGACTGATCTATAGTCTTGACTATAAACTGATCTATAGTCTTGACTATAGACTGCTCTATAGTCTTGACTATAGACTGCTCTATAGTCTTGACTATAGACTGCTCTATAGTCTTGACTATAAATTGATCTATAGTCTTGACTATAAATTGATCTATAGTCTTGACTATAAATTGATCTATAGTCTTGACTATAAATTGATCTATAGTCTTTACTATAAATTGATCTATAGTCTTGACTATAGACTGATCTATAGTCTTGACTATAACCTGATCTATGGTCTTGACTATAGACTGATATATATTCTTGACTATAGACTGATATATAGTGTTGACTATAGACTGCTCTATAGTCTGGACTATAGACTTATCCCTAGTATTGACTATAAACTGATCTATTGTCTTGACTATAGAGTGCTCCATAGTCTTGACTATAGACAGATCTTTAGTCTTGACTATAAGCTGAATTGTAGTCTTCTCTATAGACTGATCTATTGTATTGTATTGACTATAGAGTGCTCTATAGTCTTGACTATATACTGCTCTATAGTCTTGACTATATACTGCTCTATAGTCTTGACTATAGACAACTCTATAGTCTTGGCAACAGACAAATCTCTAGTCGTAACTATAAACTGATTTATAGTCTTGACTATAAACTGAATTGTAGTCTTGACTTTAGACTGATCTATTGTATTGACTATATACTGAACTAAAGACTGATATTCAGACTAAACTATAGATTTGACTATAGGCTGATCTATAGTCTTGACTTATCTCTAGTCTTGCCTATAAACCGATTATAGTCTTGGCTATAAACTGATCTATAGTCTTGACTATAGACAGATCTCTAGTCTTGACTATAAACTGAATTGTAGTCACCACTATAGACTGATCTATAGATTTGACTATAGACTATAGACCGTCTTAACTATAGACTGATCTATAGTCCTAACTATGCAGAAACTATCGCCATGTACTCAAGATTTTTTTCCTATGATTTTTAAGATTTCTTCATAGCAATTATTTCCAATCCTTTTGAAATAAAATCACTCCATTAGTTCCAGCATCCTTCAAGGAAATAACACAATTTTTTTCAAACTTTCTTATAATACATCACATTTTATTATAAATTTTTATCAATTTCTTTTACCCAAATGTACCAAATATTTCTTATCCTCATCGGGACTATTGTGAAAACGCACCGTCTCGAAACCCTCCACCAGAATCTGACGATCATCACTGGTATCCGGCTCGGGACGCAAGTAACGCCAACTAATATGTAAAGGTAAATAACGTTTAAGTTGTGGTATCTTACGCCAATAACGTCGTTTATAGCAGATCCATAAAACCGTACCTCCGGCCCCTATTAAAAAGAATACAAAGAAAATATTCCAACCTTGAGACGAGCCACCGGCCATTTTAGTGGTAGGACAGATGGTGATGTTAAACCAACCAATAAAAGTGCTATGACCCAAAGAGATAACGCGGACCGCAGCCTGATTGTAGGAGTAATTGGAGTGAGCGGTAAAAAGATAATTATGGCGCTCGTGTTCCAAACGCGTTATGCAAGTTAGATAATTATGATCCACGGTTAGATTGCTGCTGTTATTGGGAATATGATGACGAAAATGTAGCGCATAGGAAGTTATATAACCATTTGGTAGTTGGGGCTCGGAAAAGTGCACCCTATAGTCATTTATATGAGGCATTCTACAGGCTGTGAAATCATAAACTTTATCGGCGGCCGTAGAATAATTGGTCCTAACCGATAACATATTAAAACTACTGCAACCAGCATGATTACAGGCTTTCACTTGCAGAACATACAAATGAAAACGTGCCAAGGATCTTATGGTATAATTACTTTCCCAAGCTTCAAAACGTTTTGTTAAAATAGCTTCATATTCCTGGGTATCATTGAATTCCTGAGTATTCTGTTTACAGTATTCCGGATGA